CAAATTTAGATGACTATCAATTCAAAATTATCTGATGCCTGATAGAAATAAAATAAAAAATTGAAGGAGATTTTTCGTTTGTCTCTAAAATTCTTCATTTTAATATTTGTTCCCATGTTAGACACTTAATTCAAAATTTCTCATGGTCCAAAGCGACAGATTTAAATGTTAATGTCAGTACATGTAGAAAATAGCAGTCATGTAAATTTATGAACAGTTTATGAAGAGTTCTCAGCCTAACTGATAAACTTTTCAAAAAGAAATGTCAGATTTTGAGCAGTGGGTCAGATCAAAAACTTTTCAGCACCCTCTTGTATATTTGGAAGACTTAAATGCTACAGACAGTATAACTTAAAAATATTAATATATATTGCACATTGTATGTGCTCCATTACTTCTGGATATATGCAATAATGGCTCTCTATAATTTCCTATCTCCTATGGATTTCAGCAGTTTTCCTCTCTTTGTCAAGGTTCCTCCTCTTTAATGTTCCGACATCCATTCACTCAAGCTTGTCAAGTAAGATCCAGGTTCTAATGCTCTGGATTGAGTGTCTCGGTGAAGGAAGTCATTGCTCTTGAGTCCAGTCCTATGGGTTATTTATGCCTGGATGAATATCCCCACCAGAAATAGAATGAGCTGCACTTTCTTGTGTCTACTAACTTAGTTTCCTTTTCACCACTGTGGCCCAATGATATGATATCATATCATAATGATCTGGGTTCAATTCTCAGAGTTGTTAGAGAATGTGCACTGCTGATGAGTCCCAAAAATGGATGAAACAACTGCCTAGTGCTTTTTCAGCATGTGTGCATGTATTGAAGATTTTATGCCTAGACATGATGAATTATTATGAAAATTATACAAATCCCCAAATTACTAATCAGTTATATAAACCTATGCTAGATCCAGCTTATAATGCTCTAGATTGAGTGGCTCAGTGAAGGAATTCATTGCTCTTGATGACAGTCCTGTTGTTTATGTATGCTTGGATGAGTATTATTGTGCTTTATTGTGTCTAGTAACTTAGTTTACAATTCACCACCGTGACCAGCTGACCCAATGGTATGATGCTTGCATCTTATTGTAATGGTCCAGGTTCAATTCTCAGTTGGTAGAAGATGCGCACTGCTGACGAGTCCCAAAAAGAATGAAACTGTCACCCAGTGGCTTTTCTGCCTGAGTGTGTGTTGAAGATTCTATGTTTAGATGTGATGAATTATTATGAAAATATATATTACTTCAAATGTTAATATAATTTGAAATAGATATTTTTATTTTTAAACAATGTGTATTATGTCTTTTGGCCTTCACATTTGAGAAAGAAATCTGCTCTCTAGCAGAGGTCAAACCTGTATCCCCCTTTATAGGAGATATCACAATTTTTTCTAGCATGCTTTACCGCTTGACTACAGAGAGTTTCATAGTTCAGCAAGGATCTATTTTCTTTTATATATATATATATATATATATATATATATATATATATATATGTATTATTGTTTTTATTATAAAAGATTCTAAAAACAGTATTTACATTAGTCGGACTATTGTCCTCATCTTTGTCGCCATATTTGTCCTTCGTTTGACAGGTGGTTCCGGCCTTCTTCAGGTGGTTGGAATTTCAACTGAACCCTTTATTTCGATCGCTGGGGTAGACTGTTCTAATTCCACGTGCCATGTTTGATGGATGTCAGTTATCAGTTATCTCCTGCTAATTTTCCCTCTGAAAGTTCTCCACTGCAGGGTTCAGTTGGAAATTCCAACCACCTGAAGAAGGCCGGAGCGCATAAACGGCGAAACGTTGTGACAAATATGGCGACAAAGATGAGGACAATAGTCCCACTAATGTAAATACTGTACATAATACCTCATCTCAGAAATGTAGACAAACTCATTCTAAAAAAAATATTGAAATCACAAATCACTACACAAAAGCTTTCAAATTTCAATACTTTGATAGTGCTTCACCAATTACTTACAATTGCCCGCAGGAGTACTATTAAAGTATTGAAACATGAAAGCTTTTGTGTAGTGATTTCAATATTTTTTTATTATAATCTTTTATAATAAAAAGAATAATAATATATTGCTCTACTTTGTATTGAGCACTTTTTAAAAGTAAATGCTATGAACAGTGGAATTTTATTCCATCTGTTCTTTCCCTCATTTATGTGTATATATATATATATATATATATATATATATATATATATATGTGTGTGTGTGTGTATATATATATATATATATGTGTGTGTGTGTGTATATATATATATATATATATATATATATATATATATATATATATATATGTATGTATAGACAAAATGCATAAGGGTTAATAGTCACAGTTGCATCAGACCAGGAAAAGTGGTATTAAATGTGCTCAATGCACGTGTGAAAAAAAATAAAAGTAAAAATAACATGTAAAGCTTTTAAATTTAAAAGTGAATATTTTAGAAGTATATATAAATATATACAAAAATACATAAAGGGAGAGACACTCAAGGAAAAGAAAAAAAAATTAATCACCATGGTTAATAAAAAATGTAACAACAGAAAAGGAAATCCCAAAAGGAGGCTAACCGGTTATCACTCTTTGCTCTTGGGCACCTTGGCATGTTGTAATGGTTAGCAAGCTTGTCTCGCTATATCAGTCACAACTGAAAAGTGGGTTCAGTCCTCATTGGGTGCTCCATACTTTCGGCCTTGTACCACATCTAAGCTACACTTAGAAAATAACTAGGACACTTCAAGGTGGTGTAATGGTTAGCAAGCTTGTCTTGCTAGCACAATTATGACTGAGTAGTGAGTTCGATCCTCACTGGGTGCCCCATACTTTCGGCTTTGTGTCACATCTGAGTTATGCTTGGAAAATCACTATCACTCTTTGTTCTTCAGGCCAATAGAGGACAAAACATAAATTTGTGCACAATAACTTTAGTCATTGTCCACATATTTAGAAAAGTCAAACTGTGTGAGCTATGAATTATTTTCATCCCAAAAGCTCCTTTTCCAACGATGCAATTGTTGACCATGTTCACCATAGTCTATGAATATAGAATACAGCGCAGTATGTAATCTGTTCAATGAAACAACATTAAAGATTAACACTCACGAGTCAGACACTCTACTGAATCTGACTATATTGCCAATACCACCAGCAGCTGTTCCATAATTCTTCAGTTTTCAATATCAAAGGCTAGCAATGAATATTCGGGAAAAATATGGCTGCTTTTATACACGTCGCATTGAATATTTTGAGCCTTCTGATTGGTTAACCCTTCTATTGGTGAACTATAAAATGACAAGAAAGTTTTAAGGCAAATGACAACAAGGAAGCTTATGATCAGAATCAGAAAGAGACAATTGAAGTTTCTTGTACACATAATGAGGAAAGAAGGCTCAAAACATTTAACATTCACATGTCTTATTGAAGACATTAGGGTATGAAGGAAACAGTAAATAACCTATCTAATGAACTTTTGTAAATGGATGGCAGAACAGGGATACAGAGGGAGACTAAAAAGACAAACATTTATAAGAGTTACAAAGGATAGGAAGTTGTGGAGAGCCATGATCACCTACCTAAAAAGCCTGTGTAAATGAATGGCAGAACAGGATGATAGAGGGAGAGTAAAAGGACAAAGATTGACAAAAGTTACAAAGGATAGGAAGTTGTGGGGAGCCATGATCACCAACCTAAGAAGCCTGTGTAAATGAATGGCAGAAGAGGATGATAGAGGGAGAGTAAAATGACAAACATTGACAAGAATTACAAAGGATAGGAAGTTGTGGAGAGCCATGATCACCTACCTTAAAAGCTTGTGTAAATGAATGGCAGAACAGGGTGATAGAGGGAGAGTAAAAAGACAAACATTGATAAGGCTTACAACGGATAGGAAGTTGTGGAGAGCCACGATCACCTACCTAAGAAGTTTGTGCAAATGGATGGTTGAACAGGGAGAGTGAAAGGACAAACATTTATAAGAGTTACAAAGAATAGGAAGTTGTGGAGAACCATAATCGCCCACGTTTTGAAGAAACACAACATATAAAAAATTTTAAGCTATTCTCATGTAATGTTAGTTTTATTCTTTATGAAAATATAAGTGAGTAAACATTTTGTAATTTAAACTATCGAGAACGATATCAACAGTTAAAATTTGTGGATGTCCAAATTGAAAAAAAATCTGTTGTAATCTAGTAAAATCGAGTCATGTTACTAAACAGCTAAAAAAATTCTCTCATGTTCTGCTTTTTGATTGTTTTCCTTTTAAAATTAAACTAAATGTTGGCAACAATTAGTTTGCGAGAACAGATGCATGTCAAAGTGTTAAATGCATATAAAACAAACATGACCTATTTCTAGAATGCTCTCTTGGCATTGCTAAAATATTTTCAGTCTTGTAAACATAATTTATCTATTTCATAATCTCTTAAAATTTAGTGAGTTGGGATTCTGGAGATGAATAGATGGAACATGTAAAGCTCAGTCCATTCCAAAAGTGAGGCAATATTTCATAAAAACAGACATTAAAAAAAAAAAAAGCAAATTTTATCGATTTCTCACTGTCTCATTTATTGTTTATGTTGTTTTCTTTTTTTTGCTTACTTTTTTCTTCCTTTTAGATTTTGGTAATTTGCAGAAAGCTAATTAAAGTTTGATTTAATTAATTTGCAGTTGAATTTTATTTATGAACGGCATCATCAACTCTTTGGCAGCTTAAAGGATTTGATTGGATGACTGATTCCATATTAATTAGAAATAAAAATGTCACCTTAAAATTATAGCCACTTTTGAAGAGTTTTTTAGAAAATTGCTCAAAGAAGCCACAAATGATTAAAATTGATATTTAAATTAATTGACAATTATCTGAGGTTTATCAGTATAATCTGCATTTAGAGAAATAATCTTTCATTTGTCCTATCAGTAGATGGATTTTCATATATATATATATATATATATATATATATATATATATATATATATATATGTATGTATACATTATTTGTCTTTCATTCTATTGCCTGTTCCTATCTATTTGTTTTCATTTCTATCTATCTATCTATCTATCTATCTAAGTCTGTTTATATCTATATATCTGTCTCATTCTGTTCACATGAATCTTTGTCTATATCTATCTATCTATCTATCTATCTATCTATCTATCTATCTATCTATCTATCTCAGTTTGTTTATATCTATTTATATACCCCAGTCTGTTTCTTTCTATCTATCTATCTCAGTCTGTTTATATCTATATATCTATCTCATTCTCTTCACATGAATCTTTGTCCATATCTATCTATCTATCTATCTATCTATATATCTATCTATCTATCTATCTATCTCAGTCTTTTTCTATCTATCTATCTATCTATCTATCTATCTATCTATCTATCTATCTATCTATCTATCTATCTGTTGTGGTAAACCCTCCTACAGTATAATGAACTCTTCCTTCTCTCATAAATACAAACTGCAAGAGTCGGACGTGAGCGCAGAGTGTAAAGTGGAGTGGAGTAGTAGGCGCAATGCTAATCTAACACTATTGTTTTGTATATATCTTCAATATACTTTTTCCAACCAACCTTTGTCTTCTGTGTCTTTCTTTCTGACCCCTAAACAGGCCACAACACTATCTATCTTAGTCTGTTTGCACAGTCCTCTCAATGACACCCAAACACTCTGAAATGTTTGTATTGGGGCTTCCAGTATGAATGCCAAACGGTACAGTATGCCGTTATCAAAGTTCTGCATGAGTGAACTGTGTCATGGTGGTCGTTTTCTCACAGGTGGTGCCCAACTGACCCTATTATACTGTGAGTCAATAAAATCAAAAACAAACAATGCACATGTGTGATATTAAAAATATCAAATGGTGTCAATTTACCCATCGCACACACACACACACACACTATATATATATATATATATATATATATATATATATATATATATATATAAGAAGTGTGGACATTGATACCAACACCGAGTAGCAACAGTTTTTTCAGGCCTGAAGATTGCATTCAGTCATGAAACAGTCTATCACAACTAAGTGTTGACATCAGTGTCCATGTGTCTTATACTTACACACACATATTTATCATATATATATATATATATATATATATGATAAAAATATAGATTTAAGGTATGCTATACTTGTGGGTTAAAGTGGTCAATATCAGGGATAGAATGTATGTAAATATAAAAGTGGAATATTGAGGCCAACAGCCAACAGCAACAGTCTGTTTCATGCAATCTTCAGGCCATGAAATTGTTTAAGTATGCAGATTGCATTTAAGCATGAAACAGACTGTCACTGATGGATGTTTACCTCAATGTCCACTGTATGTGTAGTTAGATATCCGGTTGCCTCTAGCTAGGATTGAAACCTGGCTGAATTGGAACAGTCAGAGATTCTACCCCTAAGCCATTGGTGCACAGCAGGGATGAAGTTGAATTTAAGCAGCTTTATTTTTGGATAAACATGCAGTGACAAAGAGAACTCGATGTTCTATATCGAAGAGTCTTGCATTATTAGCTGTAATAGTCACTGTTTACAAACTCACACTTCCTCCCCAGAGAGCTCAACTGAAATAAATAGATATTGTCAACTACAGACAGTATGGCTAAATGTTTGGTTGCCCATAGCTAGGATCGAAACCTGGCTGAATTGAAACAGTCGGAAATTCTACCCATAAACCATTGGTGCACAACAGGGATGAAGGTGAATTTAAGCATATTTATTTTTGGATAAACACATGAGACACATTTCACAAGTTTTGAGACTTTTTCAGAGGAGACGTTTATCAATTTGAAAGAAGTACAAGACTTTAATCTCCTTCAAAGTAGAATCCACTTCACTGAAGTTGCAACAACTCTCCAGTTACTTTTTGAAGGCCTCTATGGAAGTCATCCAAAGTGAAGTTGTCCAGGACCCTTGTCACAACCGCCTACAATGTCTTCAAAATGAATACACCAGAGATTCTTCTTCAGCTTGGGGAACAGCCAAAAGTCACAGGGAGAGTGAGGGACTGTTTTGATGCCCATCTCTGTTAATACAAAACTTTATTGCATAGCATGCTTCCTGGAAACTTGAGCACTGTTTTTATAACACCTGAGAAAAAAATATATATATACATACACATATGTTTTGTTTTATCATAATCATATCTATCTATCTATCTATCTATCTATCTATCTATCTATCTATCTATATATATATATATATATATATATATATAAAGTGAATTTTGAAGTCAACACTTAGAGGCAACAGGATGTATTCATGCTAGACACAATCATCAGGCTTGACGACTGCATCTAGCATGAAACAGCCTGTCGCCTCTAAGTGTTGACTTCAATATTCACTTTTATATTTACACATGCTCTATCTCTGATATTCAGCACTTTATCCCATAAATATAGCACACCTTAAGAGTATATTTATATATTATATACTGTTTTTTCTTTTATATATATATATATATATATATATATATATATATATATATATATATATATATATATATAATATATATATATATATATATATATACTACCAAATGGAAAAATGTTTAATTCATCAAATTTCCTTGTTTTTCATATTCAGTGCAACATGTTTAATAGAGAATTTGCTGCCTATACTTGTGTGTGTGTGTGTGTGTGAGTGTGTGTGTGTGTGTGATTGATATGAATTACCCCATAAAACTCTATGTCAAGTTGGAATTTCATGAAACCCAGTTGGATGTTTAGAACTT